CTGCCCCCGTGTCCCCCAGGTGCCCGTTGCCACTGGGGGCAGTGGGAGGGGAGGGCTCTGAGGGGATGCAGGTGGGCGTTTCGGCATCGAAGTCGATGAGGTTCCCTACGGGCACGTCCAGGGGGGCCTCCATGGCTCTGCCGTGGGATGTGCTGGGCTTGGGGGGGGACTTGCTCCTCGTCCTTTCGTCCCTCACTGGGGCGTCGAGGCCATCGCTGGCGGAGCAACTGGGAGGACGTGCTGGCTAAGGCGTCATCAGGGGGGCCTCCATGGCTCTGCCGTGGGATGTGCTGGGCTTGGGGGGGGACTTGCTCCTCGTCCTTTCGTCCCTCACTGGGGCGTCGAGGCCATCGCTGGCGGAGCAACTGGGAGGACGTGCTGGCTAAGGCGTCATTTTAGGGGAGAGTGAGGACAGGGCCCCAAGGAACCGCCAGCATGGACTGTGGGTAAGGAGACCACAGGCCACTGCCTGTGATGTCCCCAGGATGCCCATCAGCAGTGGGGAGGGACAGGGCAGACAGAGCTGGCCTCTCTCCAGCAGCCACGTGAATAAGCAAACCCGTGCAATGCTCGTGTGCCTTCTGCACCATTCAAGTGGGTTTTTCATCCTTCAGCCCAGGAAAGAGACGGTCTGAGCCCAAGCTCCGTATGTCACACTTTGGATGTGACATCTCACAGCCTGACGGGCAAAACTGGGCTGGCGTGAGCCAGCAGCTGGCAAAGACACTGGTGATTTTCCAAGGCAGCTCCAAAGAAGAATCCTCCTCTCCCTTTCCCTCCTCCCTGCTCGTGGAATTGGTGGGGACAACAAATCCACCTGCCCAGTTAACAGCTGCTGCACGGATGTGACAGTGAGAAAAGTCCCGTCGAAAAGACTTTGTGCTCCTTGGCAGGTGACAATCCCCACGTCCCCTTCCACGTGCAGCCTGGGAAGAAATTGCAGAACCTCCCCAGCCAGGTGAATGTCCCTAGAAGGATCCACCCTGATCAGAACTTCTCCCACTAAGGGCCTTGGGGAGTCGGCAATGTTTCTGTATTTTGAAAGCGGGGAGGGCTCAGCCCGTCCCAGCACCACCGCTCAGCCCCCTCCTTCTGCAGCTTCGCAGAAGCTTCCCCAAGCAACATGCCGCAAGACACAGCCAAGCTTAGGGAGCTCCAGCTCCAGAAAAAACCAATATAAATGAAGATGTATTGCTCAGACATCAGCTCTGGCTCTGGGCGGGTCTGTCCTGCCCCAGAAACCCGGCGCTGGCACGAGGATGTGACAGCCAAATCCAGGATAACGTATTTCTCCAGACATCATCACAAAGAAAACAGGGCTGTGCTGGGGCAACAGGGGGCCCTGGCTCTGCTTCAGGCCAGGGAGGGGACAGGGGGACATCCCCCAACTCTTTGCACATCAGGCACCAACCCCATCCCTGCCTGACCAGTTGTCACCCTCTGGGACAAAGGACTTGGGGGTACAGGCTAAGCGAGACCCCAGGACTCACAGCTGGTATTAAAACAACATTGCAGGCTCAGCAGAAACCTGCCCAGGGCTGCAGGCAGAATCAGTTGATGCATTCTGCTCACAGAAGGCCAAAAAGGGTTTAAACATTCACTGAGCAGCTCATGATACAGCCCTGCCCTTGAATGAAGGCCACAAAAGGTATTTTAGGGTGCTGGCAGCTGCTGTTGGTGCCCAGGCTTCCCAGACATCCAAGATTGTTGGGTTCTCAGAGCCCAAGAGAGCTTCAAAACCAAAATAAATATCAAACTCAGCCCCGTACCCACCACATAAGCCAGTCATTGCTCCTGTGGAACAAATCCAGGACAGGAACAGCCAATATACAAACCAGAAGACCCAAATCCTGCAGCCTGAGCCCTTGGCTCCATCTCCATGTGGAGACGAGTTGGATGGAGCCGTGAATGGAGGTGCCACAGGAAACCCCTGGTGCTTTGAAGCTTTGGAAAAGGCATAGTTTTAACTTGAAAAGAAATGCTGATGTAGATCTGTAGACAATGCACCTACAGCTGCATGTACTGTGCAGGCAGCTTTCATCCCCAATCTGCCTTTGAATCCAGAATTTCTGACCCATCACAACCAGGGAACTGCCCGGTTTTGCTGCTTCCTCCACCTGCATCAACCCCTGTGATGTCTCAGCTGTCTAGGAAGGGGGTGAAAAACACCAACCCCTGCCAAGGAGCTGGGATGAAAAGCAATGGAGCTGGAGATGAGGGTGGATCTTTTTCCCGCCCTTTTTCAGAGGAATGTCACAGTTTTGCCATCCTCCAACCACCCTGGTCCCAGCACATCCTTCCCAGGGGTAGGACCACCCAGTCCAGGTTTGCAGTTGAACTCCTTCTTCTCCTCACAAAACCTTGGGAAATGACACACAAGCAAAATAAATCACCCCAAACCCTCACCGGGAGATGCCACGTGACCACAACCAGAGAACAGCGATGATAAAGGACAAAGGCTCTCAGCACAGACTTCAGGGAATCCCACGGTTATCATGGAGGGCACGATGCTCTCCCTGTACAGAGTTTCCCCTTGGGGCTTCTTACACATACTGAGGTCGGGTGTGCTGCAGGACCTCAGCGATTCACGCCTGGGAAACTGAATCCAATCTCAGCATCCTGCATCACAACAGCGCTCAAACCCACACATCTGTGTCCTACATGGAGATGGTGCTTCAGCCCGGAGTCATCAGGAGCGATTAAAAACTGTAATTAAAATGAAAAAAACCTCTGGCTGCCTTCTCACAGCTACAAGAGCACACCCCTCCCATCCTTCTGCTCCCTGAGTGCTGGGCTGGCACCTAAAGACATAGTGCAAGGACTCTGAAAGGCCCTGGGGACATTCAGCTCATCTGCACAGAGATGCTGCTCCAGGGAAGGAGAAAAGACGTGATTAAATATTCTTGCAGGACTCAGCTTGACAGCCCGGAGGAGCCGGCTCTACTCCTTTGGCTGCCACATCCCGACACAGCCACGAGCTCTGCCATCCCCGCCACGCCGAGGGCTGCGTCCGTCCCCGCTGCTGAACGGAGCCGGAGGAGCTGTGCGAGGGCCAAGAGAGATGCTCCCGCAGCACACGGGCAGCATCTCGCCATGGCTCTGCGATGGAGGGGATTTAAACATGTCCAACATCTCCATTCTCCAGCTGTGTCAGGGGATGGGTCCTGTTTAACTGGCTGGAGGGGGGACGGTGCGTTGCTGCCTCCTCCCACCGAATGTCCTGCTGCCCCGGAGAAGATGCAGCCCCACAGAATCACAGAATTGCCCAGATTGGAAAAGACCTTTAAGCTCAAGTCCAACCATTAATCTGACAAGTCCTCGACTAAACTATGACTCTAAGCACGATGTCTACCTGACTCTTAAATCCCTCCAGGGACGGGGACTCCATCACTGACCCGGGCAACCCCTTCCAACGCCCAATAACCCTTTCAGTAAAGAAATTCTTCCTAATATCCACCCTAAACTTCTCTTGGTGCAACTTGAGGCCATTTCCTCTTGTCCTATCACTTGTCACTTCATTGAACAGACTGACCCCTCACCTCTCTCAATCCCTCACCGACCTCGCCATGCAGGGCCGGACACGAGGACTCATTGCTGTTGGAAGGACAGGGCAAAGTGCCATTTCTCAGTGCTGGCACTTTTCCACGCTGCAGCCTTTCACAGAGATCCACGTTTGCCTCATCCAGCCCAGTGCAAGCCCTCATCCAGATCCCCCCGGGGTTGCATTGCCCATCCTGCAGCCGGCCTGCAGGGTCTGACACAGACACGCCGTGGCCACCACAACATCCCTGGGTACCAGCATTCCCCAGGGAGACTGTGCAGCCCCCCACTTCCATCACATCCATGGGTCCAGCCGGGCAGAGCACCTCTGCAGCAGCGAGAAGCGTTCTCGGTGGGCAGCAAGCCAGCCCAGCAAAGCTTTGGAAAAAGCACCGCGGGCAAAGCTTTGTTTCTGCCAAGGCAAACTCCCCGTGCCGTGAGGGAACGGACTGTTTCCTCCGAGGGAACTGGTCAGTCTTGTTCCCCACGTGTCTCCCACAGCGAGAACACCCCAGCGGAAAGGTCACAGTTGGGGGACACAGACCCGTCGGGTGCCGGATCCCTCGAAGCGGAGGCACCGCACCTACCCCTCCTCCCGAAGCGTACATTTAAACTCACAAACCCTCCTTGCTTAAACAAGCACTGGGATTCCAGGGAGCTGAAAATAACCCCACGCTGAGTTTTCTCGTCCCTGCTGCAGCTCTGCTCGGCTCCGTTTCATCAGGGCTGAAGCGCAGCCGTGCTCCTCCGACGCCGCCAGGCAGAGGAGTTACAGCCTCGGCAACTCCATAAAAATCATTCCCCGAATACCAGGGAGGCTGTGAGCTGAGACCTGTGCTCAGAGACCGAGCGCACTCGGTGCATGCCAGACCCAGAGGCAGGACGAGCTGCAGGCAGGACCCTTCCCCTTCCCAAAGCCGGCTTTAACCCCCACGGCTCCCTGTGCAAAACCAGCTCCTTCAGCCTTAATACCGGAGTCGTTTCAGGACGATCTGAAGCCCGGCGAGGTCCCCGCTTGCCCTCGCTTTGCAGAGAGCCCTTTCCTCCCGCTGCCATCAGACACCAGATGGCAGCTCCCCATCCGCCTGGACTTCAGAAGAGAATTAAATGTCTCTTGACTAGACCTGCGCGGCGTAAAACCGGCTTTTGTGCCGAGCAGCGGCTT